GTCTCCCTTTTTACCCTGTTGGAGAAGTTTTTGGATGTGCATAGGGATTTGAGTCTTAGAAGATCCCATTCATCTACGTTATCTTCTCCTGGTTGTAGGTTAGAGCCAAAGATTATTGAGTCACTGAGATTGAGATCTTCGGGAACAGCAGCTGCAGCACATTTCAGCAGCTCGCCTGACTGAATATTATCCTGCTACCAACCTGAATTTCATACAGCCTTTTGGCTTGCCTAATAAACCTCATGACAGTGAATATAGTTCTGTGTGCTCTGTGAGTTACTGCATTGGCTTTCGAGCCCAGCAGAGTAGTAAAATTGATATTGGGATTAGCAAAGAGGTGAGGGTGCGTGAGGGATCTGCCTGACCTCATGGGAATTGGTTTTGTGTTGTGGATGATGATGATGATGATGTTGATGGGGGGAATGCCCCTCCTGATGGAGTTAGTTGGTAAAGGTCAGATACAGCTGTCCCCATATGGCCCTTGCTCCTCTTACACAAACAACAGGGTAGCGATGCAAACCCACCCAGTGGTTACTTAGGAGAAGCACCTAGTAACCTGCTTCTGTAAAGATTATAGTGAAGAAAACCCTATAGGTGCAGTTGTACTCTGTTACACGGGTCACTATGAAGTAAAAAAATCAATTGGACAGTCCCTAACAATAACAGGATAGAAGACATAGTTTATCTTCTCACTTGAAAGAAAACTGACAGTGATCCTTAAACAAATGGAAGTTCAGCATCAAAATGACTATGTTCTCCAAATTGCTAGCTTGGTACAAAGATTCTTAAAGGACACTTCTTGTCAGCCTGAAAGATGATGCAAAGAATGAACAAAAATGGGCCCTCTTCAAAAGCTATGATAACTCTAATTTATATACTGTGATCACAACTCATCAGATTATCTTGCATATAAACAAGAATGAATGTATACATGTCATTTCTGTACTACATTGGCATAATTAAAATTTTCTTATACAGATTCTTTCTGATCAGTACATTTTCCTTCTTTATGTATTAGCAGTGTGCTAAGAGACTGTATGTGAGTTTATCTTTCAATATGATTTTTCCTCGTCATTGTTTGACTTTGCTATGTAGCTGGGCAAAAATATGCAAATGAAGCATGTTAGCCTATCCACAAGGGGATAGTGTAAACAATCCCCAGGGGCTAGTCTCACCAAGGTAGCAATGAGAAAAGACGAATTAAGCATTTCCCTGCCACTGGCAAAGAAACCTCACTACCAGAAAAAGAGCAGCCATAGAAACGTGATGTAAGATGGAGCTACCTTGGGACTGCTCTATAACTGGAACCAGAGCTAAGGGTCTTTGGGAAGTTTGTTGGACAACTGGGGGTTGCGGCTATAATTCACAGGACTGAGAACTTTGTAACACTGGCTAAGACTGAGGAGGGAAGGAAGCCAATACCAGCAGGACTGAGAACTTTGTAATATTGGCCGAAAGCTGTGAGGCTCAAGGCTGAGGTGTGTGCAAGCACATTTGGGGAGCCATCTTGACTATTCTGCTTCTAACCCAGATAACCTTTTGACTTCCCCAGCATTGTTCTGTGTGGTCTGTGAGCTATTGCTTTGGATTTTGAACCCAGCTAAGCAGTAAGATTGGTGTGAGATGAGTAGAAAGAGGTATGGAAGTGTGGAAGACATGTCTGACATCATGGAAATTGGTTTTGTGTTATTTATGCTATTGATGGGGACAGTTCCCCTTTGTGAAGTCAGTAAAGACATGGCCATCCCTAGGTGGCCCTTGCTCTTTTTTATACTCTACGTTTGAGGAATGTGACCTTAAACTCAATTCAGACTCATGGAAACTCCTTAAGTCCCAGAATAAAACATAAGGTTCTCCTAGAAGTAATCTTTACTGAAGCAGATTGTTAGGTACCCTGTGGTGGTGCTATTAAGTAGCACCTTTTTGCATCATTCAGACACCAAAGTATTCAACGAATCTTTAATAATTTGGTCCTAAAAAAGTAAATAATCTTGTTAAGTACTGAAAGGTATGGCAACATTTAAAAAAAGAAATTTTATTACCAAAATTTGTTAGATTTTAACACTCTGCCTGGATGTTTAGTTTTCTCATGCCATTTTCCTTTTACTTCCATTTTTATTATATTTGTTATTGTTGTTGATTGCTGTTGAGTCGAGGACGACTCATAGCAACCCTATGAACCTTTAAAAAAATGTCTATCATTTTATTGCCCAAACTGTTCACAATTTTTTTTGTGTGTGTCTCTTAGGTATTTTATTTTCCATTCTTACTGCTCATTTCCTTTTCACTTCTTTCATCCTTCTTCCCTTGTATAGCTATGCTACACATATTACTTCTGTACTGCTACATAGTCACATAGGGAGCTCTGGTGACTTAGTGATACGGAGCTGCAGCTGCGCTGCGGACCCAAAGTCAGTAGTTCAAATCCAGCAGCCTATTTACGGAAGTAGGATAGGCAATCTCGTCCAATGCAATTTACTGCCTCTGAAATCCCCCTGGAGGAGGGTCAGTTATGACTTAGTTCTGACTTGATGGCACACAACAACATATAAGCATGTGCTAAAATGCAGTCTAGCAAACACTGACTTCAATCTACTGAAATATATTGCAAATCAGTTAAAATTGAGAGCCCTGTAAAAGAGGGTTAATTTTTATCTACGAGGTGAAAGAGCTGAGAATTATAAAACATGCAGAGAACAATTAAAGAGAACCGTGAAGTGGGCTCTCTGTATTCTACTAATCTACCAAAAACACCCAGTTTATGTCCTGAGAAACTTCTCATTTGTTGGCTCTCAGAATGCCCTTTGATCAAGGTCTTTCCTGCCACTCTCCCTTGACTTTCCTCACACCCACACTGCTGTTATTATTCTTTTAAACACTCCTTCCTTTCTACTTTCACCTCTTTCCGTTTGGTAAGATTCACCCCAAATCACCATTCGCTCATCCTCATAATACTGTCCCTCTCAGCTCTGACCCACTCTCTCCCGCAGGTCCCCCCACTCCTGGGCCGCGTCCCTTTTCTTCCTCGCTGCGCTTGACTGCTGGCGAGCCTTTTTCGGATTTCTCACACCTGGCTGGAAACCCCTCCTTCCAATCCTTCTCGGGGGTCGCCTTTGCAACCCCGGGGCCTGGGCCACCGCCTGGGGCTCCGCGCGCACCGCCTCTCCCTTGCGGGGCGCAGCCCGCCTCCCCGAACGCCCGGTCTGCTGTGCGCGTGCTCGCGTTTCCCACCTTGTCCGCGCCCCTCCTCCGCGCCGCCTCCCGGGACCCGTGCCCGCACCGGGCGCCGCCGCCTGCGCCCTTTGGCGGCTCTGGACTCGGCGCCCGCCCCCGCCCCCCGCGGGTCCCGCTGCACTGTGGGTAGGCGGTGGCGGTGGTGGCGGCGGCGGCGTGCGCGCTGAGCAGCAGCCGGCGGTGCCAGATTGTGTGCACCGAAGATGGCTGAGAAGCAGAAGCACGACGGGCGGGTGAAGATCGGCCACTACGTGCTCGGGGACACGCTGGGCGTCGGCACCTTTGGCAAAGTGAAGAGTTGAGTATGCGCTCGTGGCCACCCCAGGGGCTGCCGAGGCGCTGGAGGTCGCGCCGAGCTGCGAGAACCGCGGGAGCCGCCGGAGCTCCGGGGCCGCGGTGGACGGGCTGGCGTGAGGGCGCAGGGCCTGGCGGCAGGTGGAGCAGCCCTGGGTGCACAGAGCAAAGTGACTCAGGGAAGGAAGGGGCAGGGTGGAGAGCGGCGAGCCTGCAGGCTACGGGAGAGTTGTCCCAGGTCCCGCGCAGATTTCACTTGCCAGCGGGGGTCGGGACAGTTCAGCTCTGTCTTCACTGGACTTCAGTTTACTCACTTGTCAAATGAGAAATTGGGTTAAATCTGGAAGGTGTCTTCAGATTCTGTCACAGTGTGTATAGGCGCTGGGGAATAATACACATTACTGATTACTGAGTTTCTTTTTTGATAGGCGTGTATTCATGTAATTGTTAGTTTCAACTTGCTGACTATCTCCTTACCGCAAAAGGTGAGAAAACTGGGATTCCCTAGAGACTTAATAATATTTCCAAGGTCACACAAATTGGCAGAAGCTGGCAGAAGTCTAAGATGTCCTCCAACTCTGGCATGCCTGGGAGTTCCCTGTCATCCCCAGATTTTCTAATGCTGAGCCTCACTTGGTAGGGCTGCTGGTATAAGGGATGCTTCTGGGGTCAAGTCTTTCTGCTGAGTATGCAAAATGCTGGATTAGGTCAGGAGTTAATTAGAACTGGTCAGATTGGTTGGTGTGTATAAAGAAAGACTTCTGGAGTAGGGGGCAAGAATAAGAGTTCTTGACATTGAACTTTTTGAGAATCTGGCCTTAGAGGGTCAGATCTGCTAAGTCATAGACAGCGAAGGTTCACTTTTTGTTGATGAGATTCCATTCTGGGACTTCTTTTAGAGCTTTTGTGTTTTAGTGTTTACTTCTTGCTGGTTAAGTATTGAATATTCTCCCCTCCCTCTCCCCCCTGTTAATACGAAGTCATTTGGAATTTGCTCAACCTGTCCTCTCTCCAGAACTATAACCAGTTTATGAAAAGTATTTTCTGATTGTTAAATGGTTGACTTTTGTTTCTTAGGTAGAAATGTTAGGTAGGTAGGTATCCTGGAGATTTTAATTTGAGGTTGTATTTTGTTCCCATGTAAAATCATGTTTTAACTTCAAGTCCAGACAGTTGAAGAGGTGGAAGAGACCCATTGTTCTTGAATTCCTGTGGTAAGGATCAGCTTCTGTTTATGAATGCCTGTTCATTTGTTCAGAAAGCATTTACTGAGCACCTGTAATATGCCAAGCACTGTTCTAGACAGCTAGGAACAATTGTTCTAGACAATGGGGTATACGGCAAGGAACAAATTGAGAAGGCAAGCAATAATTGAAATGTGTATGTAAAATAGTATGTTAAGTTCATCATTAACTCTCGTGGCTGTTAAGTCTGAACCAACTCATAGCTGACCCTTTGGTGCGGGGTTTACAGAGGCTGTAAATTGCATTGGAGGAAATTGTCTGTCTTTCTCCAGAGGAGCAGCTTGTGGATTGGAACTGCCGGAGAGATGCAGAACTTCCACCTTTGGATTAGCAAGTGCAGCTCTCGGTGGACTCTGCCACCAGAGATCCCTTATGTGTGTTATTGTTGTGTACTTTTGACTCAGAACCGATTCATAGCTGATGCTCCAGCGAGTTTTCAGAGGCAGTAAATGACAAGGGAGAGGACTGCCCATTTTTCTTCCACAGAGAAGCAGGTGGATTTGAATGGTGGATTCATACCACGTACTTTTGGATCAGCAGTGCAATACCTTATCACTAAGCCACTAGGGCGACCTCCATTATGTTTGGCTCATCATACATGCTGTTGAGACAAATGAGACAAGGAAAGGAGAATGAGGGATTTTGAGGAATGTGTGGTTTTCCATAACGTGGTCAGGAAAGGCCTCACAGACAAAGTAGTATTTGTGTAAAAACCTCTGAAGTGCTTTGATGGCTGTAAAATCCTGGATAATTTTTAAAAAAAATTTTATTTTATATTGGTTTGCTTATAAAATTTGTATCCATTATGTTTCACCCTATCCTTCATTCGCTGGATTATTTTTTTGAAAGACCTCTTGAATAGATAGGAGAATATATTTAGAACGAGTATAGGAAGATCCTGGGGTTGGATCAATGCCTTTAATGTCATTAAATACCATTACTGAGAACTGCTGTGTTATGACATCTTTCTGCTTAGTCACACAGTGAATTAACAACCTGGATGTGCATGATCTCAAAGTTATATAACTTATCCTTTGTCCTTGTATGTTAAAATTTTTGACTTTCAATTTCTCTACCATAAGCTTAGTGTAGAATAGAACACCTCTCAGATCAGCCAGCCCATTGTCAAAGGTGATTTAAATTGCTTTTGTAGAAACTTTTTTTCCCCTTAAGCTACTGCCAGGCGCTGGCTCCTTAAAGTTCCAACAGAAGGAATTTTGACTTAGGAGAAATCCTTTTCTGGTGAACCCCTATCCAGTGAATAAACAATAAGAAGCAGGTTTCCTAACAGTGGTAAAGCCTCTCCAAAATTATACTGTGGTTTCCCCTCCAAGATTGAAATCGTTACAATCGTTTAATAAAAATCAGAGAAATTGCTACAGTTTTTCAAGACAGGTCAAGCAAAAGCACAAGCATTTTAAAAATTAACCTTACTTAGGTATAATTTACATGTTATAAAATTGGCCCTCTTTATGCATACAAATGGGTGATTTTCAGTAATATAATCTAGTAGCAAAACCATTATTACAAATCAGTTGTAGACTAGTTCTATTCCTGCAGTAAGATCTCTCATATTTATTTAAGGTAATTCTCATTTTCACCTCAGCCTCAGAAAACTAGCCATCTGGTTTTGGTCCGTATAAATTGGATTTTTCTGGACATTTTTTGTAAATGGGGTAATTCAACCTGGAGGTTATTTTGTGTTTGGTGTCTTTAATTTAGATAATGTTTTTGAGGTATTCATGTGTGATATAGCATGTCTCAGTACTTTATTCCTTTTATTGTTTAATATTATTCTATCGAATGGATGTGCCATGGATGAATTAACTATATGTTTATGAGTTCATAAACATTAGTTATTTTCAGTTACTATAAATTATGCCACTATGAACATTTACATGAAAATTTTATACTTACATATGTTTTCCTTTATCTGGGGTAGATAACTGGGTTTAACCTTTTGAGAAGACACCAAAATTTACTACAGTGGTTACATGTCCTTTTTTTGTTGTTATTGTTTTACTTTGCTTTTTTTAATTAATTTTAATGAAAATTTACAGAGACTTTGGATTTCCATTCATTCATTGTTGCACTTTACTCCTCCCCCACTCCCCCGCCTGCCCCAGTACACTCACATGCCCTTTTATAATGCTCTCGATAGTGTTAGGGAGCTCTAGTGACTTCTTATTGTTGTTCGGTTCTGTCAAGTACAACTTATGGTGACTCTGTAAACAATGTATCTGAACCTTGCCCTATCCTGCACCAACCTCACAATTTCTGACATTACACGAGCCCATTGCTGTAGTCACTGTGTCACTCTGTCTGGTTGAGGGTCTTGCTCCTTATGTGGACCTTCTACCTTTCCAAGCATGATTTCTCTCTTCAAGGAATAGCCTCTTCTAGCATCATGCCCAACATATGTGAGATGAAGCTCTATTACCTTTGCCTCCCAGCATGGCTTAGTGGTAAGGAATTGCGCTGCCAGTACAAAAGTATGTAGTTCAAATCCACCAGCTGTCAGAGAAAGATGGGCAGTCTTCTGTGCAATTAACTTCCTTCCACTGGAGGGTCAGCTATGGGTCGGTTCTAACTTGATGGTAAACAACAAAAACCAAAAGTGTTGGTATGTTTGAGTCCTTTGTTGTATGTATGAAGATTTCTCTCATGTAGGTTCTGTTTTAACAGCTGAATGCTATTTTAAATCATTATTTTTAATTTAATTTAAAAATCAAATTGGAAAAAGTGCAGTTGGAGTGCTCCTTGGAGGCAAGGATGGTAACACTTTGTCTCACATGTTTTGGACATTTTGTGAGGAGAGCCACTTCCTTGGAAAGAGATATGCTTGAAAAGGTGTCTGCAGCAGTGAACTCAAGTGTGTCAGAGATGATGAGGATGGCACAGGATACAACAGGGTTCAGATCTGTTCCTAGAGTTGTTGTACTCGACTCGAAGGCAGCTAGCAGCTTCGACAATGAAAAAGGTTGATTTTACTTGGATCTACAATCAACATCCATTACCATGAAATCAAGAAATAAAAAATATGTGTTGCACTGGGCATATCTACTGTCAAGGACTTCTTTAAAGTGCTAAAAAGCAATCATACCAGTTTAAAGACTAAGATGTACCCAGCCATGATATTTTCAGTTGCTTCTTATGCATGTGAAAGTTCAGGAGTGAATAAGGCAGACCAAAGAAGAGTTGATGCCTTTGGACTGTGGTGAAGAGTATTTTGAATATCCCATAGAATGCCAAAAGAACAAACCAACTTATCTTAGAGGAAGTGCAAGCAGAGTGCTCCTTAGAGATAAGCATAGTGAAACGTCATTGCATATGTAGTCAGAGGCCAGTTCTTGAGAAGAAATATACTGGGAAAGATAAGAGGTCAGTGAAAGAAAGGAAGATCCTCAAGGAGGTGGATTGGCACAGGGACTCCAATAAGGACTTGAACATGGTAGAGATTGTGAGGATGGCACAGGATAGGACAAGTTTTAGTCTTTTCCTGAGTCTCTGTGAGATTTCCTTGACTTGAAGGCTTCATACTATAGCTTGTACTTTTCTAGTGGTTGAACTTTCCAGGAAGACTGGACATTATTCTGTTCTGTAACATCTCAAAGGCTGCTAACAGCAACAACTACTTATAATGTGAGAGGATTACCATTTATCCACATCTTCTCCAAGATTGTCAAGCAACTAAAAAGCAAACTAGTTGCCTTTGAGTTGCTTTTGACTCTTGGCAACCTTTATATTTGTCTGCCTATT